GCTACATAAAAGTAGAGCTTTAGACTTCAGTGGTACACCTCTGTTTGAATGTGCAGCAAAAGATGTATAAATTAATTCTTTTTCTGCTGCTTTCCTCTGTCAGCGGGGCACAGCAGGAGCTCCGGGCTCTACTGCTGCAAATCCCGTGGCTCACCTGAAAGCAAGTGTGTGGCTTCGCTCTTGGCTTGCTCATTTGCGAGGGTAGAAGTTAGCATTTCATGTTTTCAGGGCATGCCGTAAATACCGCTTTCAGGCCCAGCATTCCATGCTCTGATTGCTTGAAATTGTCTTCTTCCTTGAATACTTTCTGTGTTATCAGTAGGAGCCTGCTTGGCAGACAGCTCCACAAATGGAGGACTGTCCGTGATTTGCCTGGAGTTTGTTGGTGAAATTCCTTCTCAGAAGCTTATGTCAAATGACAGCCTTTTTCTCAGCATAGGGTCATATAGTGTTTCCTCAGTGCAGTTATTCTTTATTTTTGGTTCCCGTTCTTTCTCTCATAATGGAAAATCTGTAACAGGTGGCCACAGGCACACCAGACTTTCATGCTTGGGAACGTAAAGGGCCATATGCTGTATGATGGCATGTATGGAGATAATAAGTTGTAGGAACAGGCAACCAGCTTATATGTAAAATAAGAGCTGGCTTGAATTTTTTTTATTCAAACTTGGCTAAACTAAAACTTTCTCCGTTCTCGACTGTGCTTGATTGGTTTTCTGGTTTGCTGCCTACTAGCTGGTTTCAGCTGGAAGTGAATTTTTTTTCAATTTGGGAAGAGGAATGTTCTGACATTTTTACCCAACACCCTGGGTGAGATCTGGGACCCTTGAAGTCAGTTGGACTTTTGCCATTGGCTTTAATGTGGCCAGAATTTCACTGCATGAGAACCGTTTCGCTTGGTTCCGGATAGGGTATGTCAGAAAATAACAGGCGACTTCAAGAGAGGGGGGTTTTGTGAGATTTTTGGACCACAAGCTTTCTTGGTCTAAAAGTGGTCATTCTTCCTCTAGAAGGCAGGATGATGCTTATCCAGCATAACACTTCTCTTTAATATTGTTGTATTAGTGGTGATTTGCTATTGACCTTTAGTTTCCTTTTATCAGATGACTTTAAATTCTCTTTGGGAGAGCCTGTTTGTGAATATGTGAAATAACAAAAATAATGCTGGCTTAAGCTGTATTCAGCCCATGCTGTACAGCATTATTTACCCAGAGGTTGTACCGTTCATCCTTCAGCCACAAACTTGGGTCTCACACCTCAGCTGGCATCAGGTGCTACAGCCGATGGATTTCCCTCTTGTCCAGTATGCTAAGCAGACTTTTAATTCTGCATTCTGGGTCTTGGCCAAGAGGAGATTTTGTGTGTTTGTTTTGTTTTGCTTTTCAGAGGCTGCCTAGGCTCAGTTTCTAGTTTTTAAGGAAGAAAGAGGTGAAATTCATGAATATATGAAAGTATTGGAGATCTGAACGTAGGGAAGAAGTAACATTGCATTTGGTCAGAAAATACTGTTTGTAAAGATCTTACAGACACTGTTGGCTGCTTAAATATATGCCAAAACTGTTCGTATGAAAAAAGTACAAGTCAAACTGGGCTGGCCCAGATTAGTTATCAGAAACCTAGCCTGTTTTGGGGTTGTTTGTTTTTGTTTGTTTTTTTTTTTAATTCCCCCACCCCATGATGGTGGGACAAATTCATTTAGCAGTTGGTGATCTTGCATACTGTTCCACTCACACAAGTGCAGCCAGAAATGCTATGAGAAGATTACTGTTAAGGTCAGAACAAGTAAGATGGAATTTGTGTGCAGGCAGGGTATTTTAAGGGAGTTAGGAGGAGAAAAAAAAAGTTACTAAAGGGTGTATACAATGGAAAGGATGTTTATACATTGCATACAAGGAAAACTCCTTGAGTCACTTTATCTCACTGTAGTCTCTTATTTAATGTCCTTCAATTAAAGGCTGATCATTTCTTCCTGAAATTTAAATTAAGTAGACCTGTATCTGATCGCAGGCTTTTGATGCAGTTTTGAAAAATCTTTTAATTTAGAACTCTCATCCTTTGCAAAAAACTCACCACAAACCACAACTTTTCACTGTAAGTCGTCAGTCCGTACACAAGGCCTTGTACTTGTCCATCAGTACTACCATCTTTTTTTTTTTTTTTTTTTTTTTTTTTTTTACATTTAAAAAAAAAGAAAGTAGTCAGATTTGGTGTTTTCAAAACCAACAAGTGCTCAGAATACCTTGTAATGACTGCCCATGGACTGGAGGGGAGGAAGGAGAGTTGAAATGGAAAATGAATTAGATTCTTAGGCTGTGGAAGGGGGAACATTCCTGCACAGAGAAGCGACTCTGGAGATAAGTTTTAATTTCCTGAGCTCCGGTCTCTGTATAGGAACATTGAAAGACTTCCTTCCTGATAACCAAGTCAAGCCAGGGGCTATATTAAATTATGTGTTTCTGTACATAATTGCGTGCTTGTATATGTATTTGCATACTCACAGTCTAAATACAAATAGTGTACCTGTAAAGATAGATGTCAACTTGGAAATGTGTTGCATGTATTCAAGGGCTGGCATATAGACTGTGCCTGAGACGTCTCAATATCACAATATCTATTTGGACTTCTGTAAAGGCTCTTTTTCATACTTTGTCTCTACGTAAAAACCAAAACCCAACCAAAATAACCCCAACCACTTGTCGTGCATTTTGAAGAGGATCTGGGTTATGGCGCACCTTTAGGAACGATCAAGTCACTGAGGTAGATGTGTTACATATTTCCAATGCATATATCTCCTGTATACACAATATTGTTATAACTGTTATTGTTATATCTGTTATTGTATATTATAACAATATTGTTATAACCGTCTTACTAAGGTCTGATTGTTCTGTGATTGCTTAGGCAAAATGATGAAGCTCACTATGAGTGATATCTTAGCAAGCATTTTAGGAACAAATATTAGGAGATTTTTTCTTTGTTTACAAAAGGCACAAAGCATATACAAAAAAGCATAAGTCACTCCCAATTCTGCATTTGCAAAAACTAGTTTCAGAGCCTCAGACTATGTTTCTTTTTAGCAATTGGTTTCTAGTAAAACTGTTTCAATTTGCTGTTTCCATCTTTGGTTCTTTTTTTTTTTTTTTTTTTTTTTTTTGTAGTGAATCCCAGAGTTTTTCTTTATATATTACAGGATTTTGGGATACAACCAGATGTCTAAATAAGTAATACTGTGCTAAGCAGAGCCACAGTGTAACTTGCTTTGTGAAACACAGATTTACTTGAATTCCAGACAATTGTCTGGATATCCCAAACTGTAAAATAAAATTATTTGCATCCCTCATTGCGGAATTAAAGGCGTTACTGAGCTGTTCTCTGTTTATCAGTTAACCTACTGTTATGTCAGATACATTGCTTAATTTCTATGAGCTTTTAGTATTATAGGTTTTAGTTCCACTTGTCGATAGCTCTCAATTTTTTTTTCATAACCATTCATAATTAAAAATTAGCCCCAGAGTATCTATTTTGTATCACAATGAGAGAATTTGTATTAGCTTACATGATTTGAGAAAGCACCGAATGTAAATATATTGATGGTATGCAAGATCGGAAAATGACTTTCAATTATTTCTAAATTGGACAAGCCTATGCATTGTATAAATGGAACTTTATAGACTGTGTAGTTGTTTAACTTTTTCTTTAGAACAACTTTGGAAAAAGGGAAAAAAGCCGTAAACTTAAAGAGATTCTGATGGCGCTAAAGTGTTGCCAAGCAAACCATAAAAGAGAAATCAAACTGTAATTCTATAGAAAAGCTACGAAATACTTCTACATATGTGCTGTAGTTGTTTCTGGGTTCCTGAAGCTGCTTGTGTGTAAAGTCAGCTGTGGAAATGGCTGGCTAGCTAAAAGCTATGATTCCTGCAGCTTGACTGTTGTGGGGAGATTTTTTTCTGTGAAAATAGTTGTAAAGTGGAACATCTGAAAAATATGTTCCATGCAAAATGGATCTTCACACACATTTATTTTGACATTTAGGTTTGATTTGAGAGAGAGAGAGAAGACTCTGAAATAGCCATTCACAGATGGCTTGTGCAGGTTTTTTTTTTTTTTTTTTTGTATGCTTCTCTGTGTTTTTGGTTTGGGGTTGATTTTTTTGCATGTGTTTGCAGACTTGTCAATCCCCCTCTTCCCCCAGATCACATGTTTAATTTTTTTATTACTTGAATTTTTGTCCTTTTTTCCAGAAGCTGATGTTTAAAAAATGGAAAAGGGGCAAAAAACCTCCCACCCCAACCCCGAAACAGCAACAAAAACCCACCCCAAACCAACCAAGCAAAAAACCCTTCCTCCCTGCGACACTCCCCTCCCCCCACCAAGGTATAGCTTCCTACGATAAAAATTTTCTCGGTGATGAGTGAGAATTTATGTATTTTGTGGACTTTGATAATACAGTGGAAAATTTTTCAGGAAGCACTGAATTCTCCCATCTTTATGCCTTCAGGAGCGAGTAGATGTGGGGAATCCGGAGGGCCATGTGCTCTCGACTGGGGCAGCGCGGCTGGCAAAACCTGGCGCGTGTTCGGCTAGACAGGTGAAATGCAGGCGTTGTGGATCTGGTCACCCTTCCTCAGGGCTGGACTCGGCCACTGTAGCCTTTACTGATGGGAATATCCTTTCCAGGTGGGAGTCAGGAGTGAGTTGTTGGAGCCTGTCTGTTTTCTTTTGAAGGTGTCGAGTGAAAGCCATTGCTGTTAAATTGCGGTTGTGAAACGTGCCTGAGAAGCAGGTCCATCTGTGTGTGAGGAATAAAAACTCTGAGTGGCACTGGTAATCCCTTCTTTGTGAAATGTCGATGTGAAATATCCCTGTATTCCAACTGTAATAATGAAATGAATATTCAACATACCCAGTTATTTTTCTTTAAGGAAACCAGATGTTGAGCTTGCACTGGATGCCATCAGTGATACATCTCTTGTTTGTTTTGTTTTTAATCCCAGAAGAAATTAGCTGTATACAACAAGATGCAGGAGTCTCTGGAAGTGACCCTTCCCAGCAAGCAAGAGGAGGATGAGAAAGACCAGCCTGCCGAGATGGAGTACCTTAACTCTCGCTGCGTCCTTTTCACTTACTTCCAGGGAGACATTGGTTCAGTAGTGGACGAACACTTCTCAAGAGCTTTGAGCCAAGCCAGTAGCTTCAATCCAGAAACTGCCCTTACCAAGAGCAAGGCAGGGCTAAGTCCTCTGTGGAGAGGTAAGAGGAGCAGGAACTTGCTCTCTGTGGTGTGGCTTACTCGGTCTGTGTTGAGGTAACGCGTGTTGCATTGCAGCTGAAATTTTGCTCCCCTGTGGCGGTGGAAAAATCCCCCTCAAATTTCAAAGAACTAGGTTGCTTCTTGGGGTTGAGTGATCTGAAGTATTACAAGGGGGAAAGAGGTGCCAAAGGCATGGAAGAAGCAGGCACCTCCCTCTTCTGCCATAGCCCGTGACTCTGCCGAGGCCTGGAAAGAAGGGGGCAGAGGTCATATGGCTTCACAAACGTCTGTAGCAAGGTTGGAGGCTTGGTTTTAAGCTCCAGGTGTGAAACTTGGCCTGTGAGGCAAAAGCAAAGCTGTTCAGGATGCTGGCCGTGGACGCGAGAAGACCCGTGCAGCCTTCTTGGGTGACTTTGCCAGGCGATTAAGATTCGTCTACGGCTGCTTTCCAGGTAGGGAGGAAGCCAGCACAGGCTGGAACAGGCTTGGGTGCAAGCCCTGGCCCACGTGGCTGCAGCCGTGTGGTGTGGTGCATGGCAGCCTGCCCATGGGCAGAGCTCACGGGGGAGGCACATCCATCGCTGCCGGCTTCCCGGTGTAAAATGGGGACCGTGCTACTCTGCTTCCCAGCCGGGAGTGGACACTGTGGCGGGTGCTGCGAGGCATTTGCATACTTCCGTAACACTTAGGTCTCGTAATGCATATAAGCATGTTCAGCATAACAAAGAACTGATCTCGCCAGATAAACTAGGTAGACCTTACGGGTAAGAATTGGTGGCTGGAGAAAGCGTGCTGGTAAGATGCTATTTCCATTTTGCTGAATGTGGCAGTCTGGGTAGTTTTCAGATCCACAGCTGCATTATATCTGATCATGTCCTTATGTGGACCAGCAAAGGGCCATGAACCAAGTGCTGTGAGCAATGGCCTTGCATCGGGTTGGGTGAGAGAGATGCTGTGAGGATCCTTGTAGGAGTGGTGGTGGTCATAATCAGCAGTGCTGAGGTGAGTGTACTGATGAAAGTCACAAATAATAGAGACGGGATTTTTGGAAACTGCTGTGGAGAGAAAAATAGCACAGAAGGACTTGCTTTCCAGAAGGATGATGACAAATCCGAGGAAGTTTAAGCAAAGGTCAGCACAAGCGGCTAGGGAGCTAGAGGAATTTATGGCTTGAGCCGGGACCATTAATGTTAATGGGAAATTTTCCGTTGATTTGACTGAGAGCAGGATTGAACCTATGCTTACTAAAAAGGAGACTGGAGCATTTATAAATGGCCCAGACAGGCTGTAAATGCTTTAGAGATGGGATCAAGGCAGTCCCCGGAGACCCCGTGCCCATAGCAAGCCTTCTTCACTGAGCTTGGAGACATACCATGGGTGGGGTTCTGTGTCTTCCCTTTGGCCTCAGACATACCCTGCTGGTTTTCCCTGGCTCCTCCCATGGTTGCACAGCCCTCCCCAGGGGGCTCTGCAGGGGACAGGGTGGCCTGGCATCAGGGTTCTTCAGCCATGCTGCCTCCTGACCCAGTGTGCCCCTTGCCGTCGGCAGGGAATGGAGGTCTGCGTGTCCTCAAAGTCTTCTGGGAATAAAGTAAGGGGATATGCCCTCTGCCGTCACTGCACCTGCTGAAGGGGTATGAAAAACCCCAGGGAGGCTGCTGGACAGGGCTGCTTGGTTCTGCGCTGTGGATGCTGAGAAAGCTGAGGGTATTTGCTTCTCCAGAGAAGAGAAGCTGACAAGGATTTTATCAGGCCCAAATGTGTTTCTGAAACATGCCTGCCTGAAAAAAAGTGGGGAAGGAGCGACGCTAACACCTTGGTCTTCTGATTCATGTCCAGTTGTCAAAGATGCTCACTTACAGCAAATGGATGCAAATTTGTATCCCATTACCTAAAGAAGCTAACATGTCGTTAGCTTGAAGATCTTTTATAAATAACCTTCATGGGTAGTCAGAATTTTTGTCAATAACTTACTCAAAGATAAATTTAAAAAAAAAAAAAGCTTTTGCATTTGCAATAGCTGTTTTGGAAGGTACAGATTTAAATGGAAAGTGTGTGGGCATGAACAAGCTACTCATCTCACTGCGTTATTTCTCGTTTACCTGAAAGGAGGGATTAGTAATGTTTTCTGCTTTTTTGTTTTAACCTTGTTGTGGGGTTTTTTTAGTGTCCTGATGGAAGAGCAAACTAATTTCATCATTAAGGTGGTATTGTGGGTTTTTTATGTTTCTAGGAGTGGTTTTGCTTATGTGTAGAAAACGGAACCTGTCGTCCTGAAGAGAGCAAGTTTTGTCTTTTGTATGTTGAAAATACTGATCAGTTTAGGCTAAAATTAACTTCAAAACTGACTTTTTATAAAATATAATTCCCTACGACAGGCTCTGGTAACATGGAGCTTGAATATTCAATTGTACATGTAGCTACCTGAATTCTTTTGCAGGGGCTAATGAAACTAATGATATCTTGAAACTAATGTTACCTTCATGGTATTTTTATCAACATGTTTTTCCTAGATGCAAGTGTTGGGGTTTTGTCTTTCTTGGGTTTTGGTTTGGGGTGTTTTTTTTTTCCCTCCTGCCTTAACTGAGAAGTAACATTGCACTACAGAAAATTCCATACATTGTCTTCTTTACAGCATGTGAGCTTTGGCATATTTTCAGTGCATATCGGCCAGCCACCATGAGCGTTTGCATTAGTTACCACTTCGTGGTATCTGAGATGTGGCCATCTCCCTGCCCCCCTGTACTTAGAATAGGAAATTGTGGTAACTGTAGTATATTTCCTGGCAGACAATTTTTGTTAAATGCCTCCTTCTCTGCTCTTGAAAGCCTGTGGAAGCTACTCAGGTTATTTTTATTTCTTTCTCAAGGGCAGTGCTGAAATGGCTGTTTCTCCATTGTCATATCCCGTAGAGGTCAGGTATCTGACATGATGGTATCTGTAAAGGTAATTGGTTGTGCTTGCTGTTTTAAAGGTGGGAAGGAAAGGAGACCCTTCAAACACTGTGGAAAATCTGTCGTGGTTGGGGGCTGTGGATCTTGAGAGAGATGGTTCTTGATGGGGTTGCTGCACCCTTAATATTTGGTAGCATCCTCTGTGAGTGCTCAGGGTGGGTGAAGTTTTCTTGCATGTTCATAAAACCTGGATGGACCCTGTATCTCCAGTGCTGTGACTGCACCTTGACCAGTGAGGTTGGTCTCTGCAGGTACACTCAGTGGTGTCTCGGTGGGGGCTGATCCATGACAGTTTCTGACAGTGGTGAAATGTGCACAGGTCTGAATAATGGAGATGACCCAAATGTTTTCTGTGGCCTAGACCTTGGTAAAGGCATGATTGGTAAAGCCAAGCTGGTATGCAATCTGGGGCGAATTCATATTGGCAAATCCAGTGGATTAAAGTGCGCTCTCCTGGTATTAAAGTTGTCCTGCAGTTATTTTGTGGTTTTCTGTGCTTTTTTTGAGGTGAGATGGTTTGGATTTAGGGCTTTTCCATGCAGATAACAGCCAGATGGTTTCCAAAACTCTCGATTACAGAGATTAATTTTCCAGAATACTGGCAATGCATTGTCAAGCTGTGCTCCTCTGTTAAGCAGTGAGGAAAACAACAGACTGGACGTGAAGAAGCTTGTTTTTGCCTTCCTTGTCAGCCCTGCTTGCCAAGGCTGTATAAGCCATGCGCGCTCTCCATCTCAGCCTAATCCCTTGTAACAAGGAACAATTTACAAACAAGGAACAATACCAATTTCGGAGGGGTGCTGTGGCTTCTATTATATGCTTGAAGCTCTCTCCAGTCTTCTAGCATGAATTACAATAGAAATATGGTGCTAAAAAAAGAAGCAACCTTTTGAAGAAAGCCATGTTGGAGTATAGGCTGCTAGATAAGCTTGCAGCCTCTGAAGCATGAAGAGAAGCTCTTTATGTTTGTCCATAGTACATTTGCAAAGTTTATTTCCAATATTGGAAGTTAATCAGGCTCAATAAACTGCCTAAACCAATTGATGTGTGGAAAAAATTTCTATGATTTTAATGGATTTTAAAACAGATACACAAGTGTCCTAGTGATGCAGCCAGAAAAGACTTTTACAGTTTTTGTTTCCAAAATATTTTTGTGTAAGCAAATTTCAGAGGCAGCAGCGTTTGAAGAATCTGTTCATTCTCAAAGGTGTCTTCACTCAAGTCTCATTCCAGTTGCTTGTTAAACAAAGCAAAACAAAAGGTCATTTAAAAAAAAAAAAATTTGTAAATGTTATATGAGGAACAGAGGATTCCTTGCCTCGTCAGATATTAAACTTCCCTGGCTTTATTTCTCCGTAGGCTATTTTTATGACTCTTCTTTCATCAGAGGTAAAGTCCTGTATTTTTATGTTTCCATCTTTGACCAAAAAAACCCTCTTTGAGCTGAGACATATTGCATGAAGCAGTACTTTCAAAGATGACCTGGCAAGAGGATTGTGAGAATGGAGATGCCAATACTTTCCTACACATGAAAAACACTAACCGCTCCTTCAAAAGAGGAATTTTTAGAATGTGATTTCATAATGTAGAGGTATTGGAATCCATTTAAATATAAGTTGAGCCCTAGCTGTAAGAAGCAGCACGTCTTTTATTTCTGACAAAAACTTCTTTCAGTTACATAGATGATTCTGCTTGTCAGATCCGACTGGGTACAGGGCAACATGATATGTTCTATAAGGGACTAACATAAGATGCGTTAGATATGATCTTTATCCCATCAAAGCATGCAATTAGTTTGAGAAGATCTGGTATTCTTCCTTTAGTCAAATGTCTCATATTCTGCAGTGTGACCTGGTTCTCTGTCCTCAGACGCATTTACAGCTACAACAGCTGCCTTTCTAAATGATGTGTTCTGGTCTGGTCAGGACTTAGCCTGTCCTCGTAATTCCTCATGCCAAGATCCTGAGAGAGCTGTGACTCTTCAGCCTGGAGAAGTCAAGTCTTCTTGGGGGGAACTTTTCAATATTTACAATGCCTAATGGGAGGGAATGAAGATGAGGGAGCTGGGCTCTCCTCTAGCAATGCTTGCTTACAGGGTGAGCAGCAATAGGCATGAATTAGAAAACAGGAAATTCCATCTGAAAGCAAGAAAACTTTTTTTTAATTTTTTTTTTAATTGTTGAGGATAGCCAAGAACTGGAACAGGTTGCCCAGAGAGGTTGTGGAGTTTGGATCTCGGCCAAAATCTGACAGGACATGGCCTGCACAGCCTGCTCCAGATGACCCTGCTTGAACAGGAGGGTTGGACTAAATGATCTCAAGAGGGTCCATTCTTACCTCAATGACCTGTGATTCTGTAATTGCTGGGGAAGCTTGAGTTCAGTGTTACAAATTTAAAAGAGTAGAAAATCATGGTGGGGATTTTGTCATTAAACTTGTTGTTCAGTTTCAGTCATACTTCATTTCTCTCCTCTCTACCAGAAAGCTCAACAATTTCAAGCCAAAGGAGCAGTTTCCCAACTTCATTTTGGACCAGCTCTTACCAGCCTCCCCCTCCACCATGCTTAAGTGGAGTACACCCCGATTTCCCCGTTACTGCACCAGGCACCTTTCCAACACCAGATCCTAGCAGCTGGCCAGGACACGGCCTTCATCAGACTGCCCCACCTCCTCCCCCTGCTGCATCTGAATCCTGGCATTATCCTTTAGCATCTCAGGTGAGCCCTTCGTATGCACACATGCATGACGTGTACATGCATCGTCATCACCCTCATCCACACATGCACCATCATCATCCCAGCTCGCACCGTGACCCCCGGTACGGGTCCCTGCTGATGCCTTCGGTCCGCGCAGCCAGGATTCCTGCTCCCCAGTGTGACGTGACAAAGACAGATCCTGCTGCTGTCACCAGCGCTACCTCAGCATGGGCTGGAGCCTTTCACGGAACGGTGGACATTGTGCCAAGTTTTGGGTTTGACACAGGTAAGATGGTTCGATTGTGTCCGTGACTTGTTTTAGTAGGAAGCATTTGAGCAAAGTAGTGGACTCCCTGCAGCTGAAGCAGGGCTTGTTCTCAGAGCCTTCTCCAAATGTATTTCCAGGTGGGAATCCCTCCTGAAATTGCTGTCAGGGCAGACGAACTGTGAAACATTGAGCTCTCATTGCCTTTTGCTGAGAGACCTTTGTCTGCCTTGGTCTCGTTCAAGCCAAATGAGTTGTGACATGATATGTGTTTTTTGGTTTAAGTCTTGTGGGAAATGGTTAATTAAACTTCCATGTGGAAGCTTCCAGCTTGTTCAGCTAGTTCATATGTGCATTCACCAAAATATAGCTCCAATGAGGACTGAGCTAATAACTTGTCAGTACATGAGGATTGCATCTTACTCATTTAAATTGGAACAGATCAGCATTTCCTTCCTGTGCAGCATCCAGGTGTCACGTAGAGAGTAGAGATGCTGGTGGAGCTGTGCTCGCCATCAAACTAAACTTCTTTCTGTAGGGTCTAGGTGGAGGTCTGTGAATTAGATTCATTTTACTGCAGGGTGGGTAGCCGTAGGACAGCCTCCCTAAACCCCATCTGCACCTGCGAGCTTTGACTGGCAGGCTCCCCTGCCAGCGTTAGGAGCAGTCTGGCAGCCCTCACTGTTCATGATTGCTTGCGTGCCTGTCATGGAGCTCATACGCACTTTTGAGGTCTCCTTTTACTGTTTGGTATTTACCTGACCAACAGCAATCCTTGCAGATTAGCACTTCTTAAACACATTATGTTATTTATCAAGGAAATACTAGGTTTGCATCTCTCTCCCTTTTCCCTTAAGGTGTCTGTTTGTCTGTCTTCTTGATAGCTCCAGCTATAACTGATTCAATGTGTGAGAAGCACTTCCTTGCTTTGATCAATGCACAGGGAAGCAAAGAATTGGTGGAGAAAAAAATGCTGTTTCTTAAATATGAAATAATATGGGCCCGTTTATAACTGAGCTAACCTAACACAAATCTCTCTCTCTTCCCTTAATAGCAACTGGGAACCAATAATATCTTCTAAATGCCATGCCACTTGCTGCTTCAAGAAATTAAAAAAAAAAGTGTATTAGGATTCTTAACACTACACAATTTAATATCTATTAGTAACATTTCCAGCCACACCAATGATACAAGAGGAATTACATTTTGTGCTGTTGGGTATAAAACGATAATCTGACAGGACTGGGATTGCAAATTCTGCCTTTCTGACAAATTCCATAATGGGAGGAGCTGCCTTCTCTGAGTGTGAGCAAATTGACGCTGCCACCGGTCGAGGGGATGAGCCCCCTGGTCTGACAGCAGCTCCGGCAGTCCAGCTCCAGAGCTCTGGTATTTGGCTTACCTTCTGGGGATGGAGCTGAGAACTGCATAAGGGATTGCTAGTCAGGAGAAACCACTACCTGGCTTAGGTATGAGTCCAGCCTAGGCTGTGAGTTGTTTCAGTGCTGGGCAAGTTGGTTTGCATACTGCTACTTTGTTGGTAGCAGTGCGTATCATAAACCAGGTCCTTTTTCTCTTTTTCTGTAGGAGCGTAGTACCTCAAAAGACTACGGGTCCTAGCACTGCCTTCCAGGACTAGTACAGCCTTTGCTTGGTGCTACCTGCTTCTTGTGAAAATCCCTATGGAGGGGTACGGTTGGATGCTAATTTTATCAGGGTCCTGATTTGGCAGTGCTTAACAGTGGCTTGCATGTTTTGTAGTTGTCTACTCAGTGTGGGAGGCCGTGGAGAAAGCCTGAACTATTAATTTCTGGCCCATGCCTGTTGTGTGGGTTTTAGTCCCTGAGTTTCTGGGGGGGGAAAGAAAAAGGACAAATGTGTGACTAGTTTGCAGGAACAGAGGATCTCAGCAGAGCAATGCCTCACTTGTTTGTGACTATTCAAAATGGCCATGCACTCAAACACAATGGCAAAACCTTATCAGGCAGCCCCGGTTTGGCACGTAAGGCTTTGGAGTGGTAGTGGTAGCCTGTGACATTAGGATTATTTGCTCTCTTGCCCTGCACGCTCATCTCTCCTCTCCAAGCAGAGGCTTGCTGGGAAGGGCAGGAAGGCTCTGGGCTCCCTTTTCAGCCTTGCTTGCAGCCTGTAGGTTTGAGACAAATGCTTTGGTGACAGGCATTCGAGGCCTGGTCATGGTGAAAAGAAGGAGCTTAATTGCTTCAGTGTTTTGCGTGCGTCTCAGATGGTGTCATCCCAGGGAAGGTGTGTTGTGCTGCCGGGGAGAGGAGGGGGATGCTGAAGCACGGCACTGAAGCGTCCAGCACTCAGCAGCACAGCTGAAGCTTTTCTTGCTCCATGTCCACTCCAGGGGAGGATTATACTGGATGAGGCTGAAGGGCCTGGAAGAATGCACTGGCTTTCTGCAGCATAGAAGTGGTTTGTCCAGAGCAGGGTAAGGCCATAGTGGCAAGAAAACTTCGGTTCTGGAAGTCTTTGCTCATATGTCCCTGGTGAATAAAAGACATCAACCTGTGGAGCTCTCAATATATCAGATTCCATGAGCTTCAGATGACTCATATAAAAAAAGCTCATTTGGTATATACCTAGACATTGCTTTTCAGAGCCCTTCAGATAGGAAAATAATTCCTCCCCCCGTCCCTGCTGCCTTACTGTGGGTCACATTTCTTTTGCTACTGTCACATGCGATTATAGAAACATTTGCAAAATTCCTCATGCTGAATTATATGGCATGATAGTGTTGGGCTCAGGGCAGGCTGGCTGTAATCTTACCCTCTTCCAGCTACATTGCTGCATCTCTGCCCTACTAAGCCAAATATTTGATCTCATGAATGGATGATGCTGAATCACTTAAAAGGTTAAGAGGAGGTTCCCCTTGCATTCATGGTATAGTTCGGGAATTTATGTTTCAGAACAGATTGTGTGGGGCATCAGCATATCACTGTTCATAGAGCTAACAAAGTATTGATCTGTCTTGCACATCTGTTTAAACTTACATGGTCCTGTTTTAGAGGATGAAGTGGGATTTAGCTACCTGATTCCCATTAAATGTGGCTTAATCCTCACATTTTGTGCTGCAAATTAACCCTTTTGGAAGCTTCTTTATTGGTACAAGTGGGATTAAAGAAAATGCTGGTCTACATCAAAAATCTATTAAAAATTATCGTTGTGGCTGCTGGTATGCAGTGTCTTTCCAAAGCTGAAGTGCCCAAGGTATAATGCTCAATATAAAAGTATGTTTTATATCAAGCATTGATATGAACACACTGATATAAGCACAACATGTTTGTGCTTTAAACCACGATTCCCTGCCCCGCCGATGCCCAGCAAAGCAAGGTCAGCCCCTAACAGCACTGACTGCAGTTCCTGGCATGCGTACAGAGAGCATCGCTGCAGCTGTAATCCCACAGTGTCGGGGCTGAATCCTCGTGCTTACGTTAAGGGTGCACAAGCCAAGTTGAGCACTTAAGACCAAGGAGGCAGGGAGGGGAATTGCTGTCTTGCCGTGGAGGGGGTGGTTACGGCCATCAGTGTTTTCCTCGGGACCTTCAGGTGGTCAGTCGAATCCGGCTGCTCCGGCAGCTGCCAGGTCTGTGGGAGGAGAGTGGAGCGACTTGCCCTGCTACTGCAGAGCCTAGGAGGATATCCTGTCCTGCTGTTGGACAGATGTGCTGGAGGAGGCTTCCTGTAGCCCCAGCATGCTAACAGCAGAGCAGGATTTTGGCATATCTGAGGGCTGTAAGTCTGTCTTAAAATTGAGGTGTGCATCCTTTATTATGCAAAGTTATGCATGTTGAGGTGCATAACTTTAGATTTTGGTGAATTGATTGGCATCCTCTAGTCCTGGATGGACTAACTATGGAAAGTTCACCTTTGGAAATGCCTGTACATTGGTATGTCACGTTGAATACAGAATTTGAGTGGTCAGTCTACTGCCTTCTGTAGAGTTGTCTATATTTACACACACCCTGCGAATTTGTCACAACTCATTAAGTTTGTTTAGATGTTCCCACAGAACCTGCTTTCATTTTGTGTGGCAATTAGCTATAACGTTGGTATCCCGGAGACGAGGAGTTGTGCTGGTGTGGCAATACTGATTCAATGAGGGTGGTGGAACACTGGAACGGGTTGCCCAGAGAGGTAGTGGAGGCCCCATGGCTGGAAACATTCAAGACCAGGTTGGACGGGGCTCTTAGCAACCTGATCCAGTTAGCGGTGTCCCTGCTCACTGCAGGTGGGTTGGACTAGATGACCTCTAGGGGTCCCTTCCAACCCAAAACATTCTATAATTCTATGCAACACAAGTGAGGATGTCTTTGCTAAGAGGAAAACATTCTTGCAGCAGGCTGCAAGTGGAAGCTTTCGTTTCGTAGCAGGGTTGCAGTTGGATGGCATATTAGGACTGGAGATAGTCTTGCCATGGAGGAGATGGGAGTCTAATGAGGAAAAGGTATGGAAAGTGTTCCACATTCCATTCTGTAACTAAGGCAACTTTGGGTTTTTGGGTTGTTTTCCATGGCTATTTAGACTTAATAGCTATACCTTAAACCTCCTTGTTACAGTTATTTCTGTTTGTTGCAAAGACACCTAACTAGGAACGTGTCTGTTCAGCTGGTTAGTCCCCTTCTACCAGTTGTTGCCATCAGGTGGCCATCCTCTTAAACAGGTGTGCGTGTCTTCTTTTTTAAGCTGCTAGGAGCCATATAACCTGTTTCTCTTATCATCAGCTTCCGTTGCCTCCGGTGGCCTTTAGTGCTCCACTGGTGAACTTCAATGACTTCCTTACACTCTGAAAGGTTTCTCCTGTCCTGACTTCTTCTTTTTTTGTTGTTGTTGTTGTTGTCTTTGTTTAAAAAAATTGTAAACAGCAGGGGAAAAATAACACAAAATTGTCATCACTAACTTTGATGGAGCTTTGAAGAACACTTTATGATGACTCTGCCTGCAAATGATGCTGCCAGGAAAACAAGTACCTCTTAAGCAACAAGGAGACACCCTACTGAGTGAACACGCTTTTATAGGCATGCTTTAGTTGAGGGATGTCCCAGTTTTTCCAATCTAAAGAAACAGGTGGACGTGCATATGAAATGGAGCAGAAAGCCAGTGAACAGGGTTTGGCACGACACACAAGTGTTTGGGCACTGCTTGGGAATCCTCACATGGGTAGAGCCATACGCTGTCATCTTTTACGTGATTGTCAGTTGCTTTGTAGCTCAATTCTGAAATGATGTTGATCATCGTTAAAGATTTAACTGTTTGTACTCCTAAAACAAGGAGGTGGTGGTCAGGTCCGAACCCATCATACCTGTTAGGCTTTCTGAAAACATACGGGTCTTCCTTTGTGTTTCAGTATGTGATCAGATATGGAAATGAGAGATCCATGCTTAGCACATGGATCTGTCAGTTTTCACAGGTTAACGATCAAATAAACATGGAGCTTTGGTGGCTGCAACATCATTGAGGTCTGGAGTTGCACCTGCTTACATTAGTGCTAAATTACATTAGTCCTAAATTCTTAGCAGATCAGGTAGTTGATGCATTGGTCTTAGTACGCTATGCCACAGGGCAATATATACTGTGACACAGAGCAGAGCATTGCTGCCTACATAGCAGTGATGATTTATAGTGGGGAGTGCACCTTCACTTCATACAATGTGATTTGCTTGGCTCAAAACGTCAAGGGGCAGATTTTAAGTCAGCGAGTCCTAAGTGCCTTACTATGTCTTAAAATATGTGCCTGCACCTCTCTCCTTTCTCCTTTCTCTATAAATGAGTAAGAATGTATCTTCTTTGGGAAGTTTCATCCTCACCTCCCCCTCTATTGTCTGGATTTTAGGTATACGCCCTGTTGGATGTAAATCTAGCGAAGATTGAATCCCTCTGGAGCAGAGAAATAGCAGATTATAACACAGGTTCCAAGTCTATAATGCTAAAGCCACAGCATAGCACCACATTTATTAGATAGTCCTCACTTTTTATAGAAGAAAATGTTAGAGGAACTCATAACAAATGCAAGCTGAAAATCATTAATTTTCCCCATGTGGAAGCACTAGCCATTCTTGGCTAAAAATCTGACAGTCTGTAGGTGAAATTATTTGGGCTTTTTACTTGCTGCAGGAGCATTTTCCCTCTCTCCTCTGTAAGGTGAAATGCCATAGAAACTGTGAGATCCTAAAGAGTCACAGGCCTTTTCTAAAAGAGGTAGGGTGTGTGGCTGGCCCCTGTCAGGAAAAATTATTCTATTGCATACTGGATTGTCTGTGCAGACCTTGCTGAAGGATTTTATCACGCCATGCCATGCTCTAAACAAGGCCAAAAGAAGGAGGTGCACACAGGTTTTTACCAGTGTTCCTAAACTGCTTGAGCCAGTATAAAAATTAAGTGTGGTTTAAGCTTATCCCACATAAACTGTAAAATTGGGAGCAATAGCGATGTTACTAACAAGTCCACTAGGCTGGTAAGTTGTGAGGGTTTTTTTCTTCTCTTTTAAATCAAAAATATTTATCCTTACATCAGTTGGTTGGGGAGGGGGAGGAAAAAGCTCTGTCAAATTTTAATTTTTTTTTTTTTTTTTTTTTTTTTTTTTTTTTTTTTTTTTTTTTTTTTTTTTCCCCTGAAATGTAGGTCTACAGCATCAGGACAAGAGCAAGGAAACTTCTTGGTTCTGAAGTTCAGCTAAATTAAGACCAGCTAGAGCTGGAGTAAGCGCATCTGGGCGGGCGATATAACAGTTGTTGACTCCTCCTGCATGGGGCAAAGGACACACATGAAGATGAAGAGCCAACCGTTCTGGTTTTGCTATTGAGCCTTTTGTTTGTAAGGCCGTTTATGGGTCCCACAGTGTTGGAAAAAAACAAAAACCTAACTCTTCTTTCTTTCCTCATCTGAGCCTGCTGCAGCTGGGCAACCTAACTCCTTTCTGCTCCTTTAACAGTGTTTTGTTTTGTTCAGCTTGATGTTTTTATGAACAGTCTCAATTGTCAGGAAAAAAGACTCTCCCTTGACTACAGTGCGCCTCCTTTCAGGAATACAGTATTTTGTAGCTCTTTGTGCATCTATTTTTGTAGAAATACAGAAAGTTTAGGTAAAGGATTGATGGGCTATTTTAGGATGACGTATTTTTTTAAAAAAAATTGTAAAATTGTTAAGTTCTGTTTAAAGAACTTGCTCTCAGAGAAGCACTGGCAAAAAAATGTATAAAATGCTATTTTTAGATGTCTGTGATGTGTTTGTGCATTTTGGTTTTTTGTTTTGTTACCTCAAATGTCTATCTTTCCTTTCTTTTTAAAGAGCTAAACCTTCATTGTTTCCACATTACTAAATTTTGATGTTTTTGTCCTTTTGTTCTAGCTTAAGCAAGTATAATTCACACCTAAAGTTTCAGCCAAATATTTTTCCTGCTGGTGTTAGATTGCAGTAAGGGTGTTTTTATTTTCTTGCTTCTAAAGGTGGCTTTGTGCTGTGCTGATTGTCGGAAACTTGCAAATGCCTTTAGCATGGCAGAAAGCCTGGGGCTACAGGAACTACATTTCCAAACCATCCATTCTTTCAAAATGGACCAAATATTCTTACGGATTTAAATCAGACATGAGTTTGGGTTTACTCCATGATCCACTGAAGCTGTTGAACGCAGTCCACTGTGGGTTATGTTTCAGGCCCTCATAATGCTCATAAATACCAGTACGCTCTTATTTTATCTCATGAGGCAGGACTTTCAGCTAAGCCATTTCAAGGGTGGTAACTTATAACATCAATATTCAGGAAAGAAATGTCAGTTTTACAAAAATGTGTGACTTGTAGAAACAAAATGTTTTCAACTAGCCTGATCTGTCTGCTGAGTACCTCAAGGAAAGTGCTGAAATTTTCAACTCCTGTTGACTTCAAAAGCTGTTTGTTTAGCCTAAGATTTGCTGTGGGCCTTACGAGACCCCAGCTGCAGCTCTTGAATTTCTTAAGAAGTTGCATGTGCTCAGTGTGCACAAATTCAGTCTTGGCTGCTGTCTGGGAAAGAATCTGAATTTGGAAATGACGTGGCCACTTCTAGCCACAGCGCTCTGCAAGGTGTTTGGGAAACCCTATTTCTGGCTGGGTCTGGGGTCTGACTTGCATAATAAGGACTTCAGTTGAAGCCAAGGTGAGCACAATGAAATCCTGAATAAGGCCTGCAAGATTCCCCTTGACAGCCCCAGCCCTGCGATGGGCTGGAGCCGGGTCAGCCCCCATGCCCAACCCTAGTGACTCCAGTGTGTCAGCATGTGCTTAGGTGAGGCTGAGTGCAGGATCAGGGCTGGGGTTGCCAGATCCTACCTATTGCTTGGAGATGTTGCCTTTCTGCTCTGTGCGCCCAGGGTTCCTCTGCAATATTTCCCAAGGCTCTTATAACCTATTCTAGTTCTGTTACCACTGTTTTCAGACATCCCTGTCTGAAAGACAAACCAGCTGAATGGAAACCACGACATAAATCCATGGCTGAGATAAGAAACAGTTTAATTTTAAGGCAACGAGCATCGTAAATGTAGGTTTGTCAGGTGGAGACCACATGGATCTGCGTGTGAAAGGGGAGGGGGAGTGCTGGGATGTGCATGCCGCTCCGAGGTTCAGGCCTCCCTCCCTGCGCTGCTGCTTCTCTCCAGGCTTTTTGAACTTGCTCCTATGAGGTGTTGAGCGTTCTCCCTTGCCAGGTGAGAGGCCCTGACATGCTGGCACTGGAGGCATTAGGATTATGTCACAATTTGGCAAGACTCTTAAGTGTGTACCTTGCTGATTTGAGGTTTGAGACAGTGTAAAAGTGCTGAACGGACTGTGCTTAAATATCACTTTAAAATAGTAGGGTTGTAGTTTCTGTGTTGGGATGCTGAATTAAATGTGGTTGTGGTGGGGGTCCTCATATTTACAGTCCATCAACATTTCTTTTTCTTAATAAATTCCACTCTCATGACATTTCTGTATATTATTGCTGCTCTGGTGGAGTTAGCTCCTCAATTTGTCAATGAATTCATAATGCAATGGGAAAACTCTATGGGAGGGAACATAGTAATAGCTGCCATGGGTCATTTTCTTATCAGGACAGTATAGTTCAGGAAGTATCTCAAGAATAAGAGTTTTGACTTAGGAGTTCTGACAGTATTAGAAATACTGGGAGGAAAAAAGCTCAAGTTTTTTTTTTTAATTTTTTTATGTTTTTTTTTTAAATTTTTTTCTGGACTTGGCAAAGCTGGAATGCAAAGAGGCAATGTATCCTCTTTGAACTTCAGGGCTGGAGAGTTTGGGTGCCGGGGGGAGGGGTGGGCAAGGAAAGTCAACATTTCTTTTAGAGGTGTAGTGGGTTTGACTTCCTGAAATAGTTTAAAATCTAGCAAGAGCAGTCAGTTCATTGCCGCCTTCTTTGCCAGTTCAGATGATGAGGGACCTCCTTCTGTTCCCTATAGATGTCAAAGCAGAATGGGACAGGAGAAAACAGGCCTACAGTTTGCACTGGAATCCCTTTCTGGATTGTTTCACTGAGTTGATGGGTCATGGGGATGAATGTGTGGTGAAGCTATTGCCTCTTCCACCTCAAGGACTACTGTTACCTGCCCAGTTTCCCCTACTGAGCCTGTGAATGTGCTGAAGAAACTTCTGTTGCTCTGCAGGCTCTGGGAGACAAGTACCAATAAAAACCTGCTATCATATATAGCCATTCATGCAGCAGTCCATCGACTTTGAAAGTCAAATAAATTCATTTTTTTCCCCTCAGTCACTAAGCATCCCCTGTACTAACAAGCGAGTTGAAAGTAAAAGCAAAAGTGCATAGCAGTAGCTCTGCTTCTATGTTTTACATTTTGAAGGATGGGAAAGAAAAAATCCTTCCCAGTGACAAACTTTTAAGTTAAATTCAGCAGATTTAATTCTCTCTCTCTCATACATGCACGCTTATACACATGCACAAATGTGCTTATGAGAAGCAGATGCTGTGATGGTTTTGTTCTTGAAAGAGGAGGGGAGCGCTTGCTCACAACATTGAAGTTATGGAGAATTGATGGCAGCGAGAAAGAAACAGAAATGTTAAGACTTCTCACGTTTCCACAGATAGATAGGAAAAAAAAGGCCCTTAAAATCAGGTCACAGACGAGTTATGTGTCTTAATGCATTACTAAAGGAGTTGTTTCATTCTTTCTGTGTGTGGTGAGTTCTGATGCTGTCCCAAGAAAGTGGATGATTCATCTTACAAGGACTTATAAAACATGTTGTACTCTGTCACCATTTCTGGGAGAACGTAGGGAAATTCTTGTTTTATTTCAAGAAAAATCTACATACTGAAGTCCTTAAAGTTGTCCACGATTTGATTTTATTCCTATTAATTTTGAGAAATCTGCTGACAATTTTTGGGTCTTCATGTGAAGACTGGGAGGGTTCAAGTTGTCCACCAGTTTTTGAAAAGCAGATACCAGTTTGTTTCAACTGGGCATTTATATCCCAACAAGATGATGAAATAGTGCAGGTACTGATTGCCCTGCAGATTTGATTTCTGGAGAGCTGAATAAGCTATGCTTGGCAATAGTAAAATGCCCTTTGTTCTGATTCCTCTCCTCACCAGACGCACAAATTTGGTTATCAGTTTATCTGATACCTCTTTCATAGTGTGAAGATCTTCAGCGAATAGCAATTTTTTCTCAATCCTCTACTTCTGCCTCAAAACATACTTTTGAGGATGAATCTCTCACCACAGCTTTCAGAGAGGGCGGAGGCTGTGGGAGGGGAATGTCACGTTTCCCCCCACCTGCACTTAGGATCAACTTGCCTGTACCCAGCCTTTCTGCTTCCAGGCTATTGTGTATGTCTTGCTCTCCTCCCACAATTCTTTCTGTGTATGTATATATTTATATACGTATATATACACACACGTAGCTATACCTGGTTCCCTCCGCTCCACCCTCATGCTTCAAATGCACATCCTTTGGAAATGAAGTGAATGACATCGCTAAATCTCATCTGAGACTGAGAAAATATTGGCATTTTATTGCATTCTCTGTAACCTCAGGAGTGAATGAAATTTTCCATACTTGTAAAAAAACAAACCCTAACAACAACAAAAACCCAACCAAAAAACCCCCTTTCAACCCCCCTGATTTGTTCTATCTGTAAAGATGACCATGGAGTCAGCAGAGTTGTGTAGAGAGGTGCAATATATTGCCTTTCAGCAGACAAGTATATCTTCTTGAATATGATTAATTAATTTCAGGTACAAGCTTTTTCTCCATATCAATGGACCAGCAACATATATTTCTTATAAGCAATTTAGAAATATATATATTTTTAAAATTGACTTCTTGGCTTTAATATGTCAGCCTTTGAGCTTTTAAAGGGTATTTGGATGATAAATATTGTTTGTGTGTGGATTTTTTTAAAAAAGTTGATGCATGCTGTTTGGAACCAAAAGCTCATGTAAAGCAGGAAGGTATTTAAAAATAAATAAATAAGTAATATTTTTACATGTTACCCCTATGGGCACAATCTGACAGTTGTGGTGCAGGAAGATGTCCATTTAAAGACCAAGGAACTCTTGCCCAAGCAAAGTCAAAATCCAGTCCCTGTGACAGGAGAGGCAGGAACAGTTTTCTTGCCAAGGTTGAGCTGATAGGGCTATGAGCAGAGATGATAGTCTCCAGCATTGTACGTAAATGGTTGG